CCTGCTAGTTTCCTTAAAGGCTTTTAAAAATTTGCTGTTGTTGCATGATGTAACATTTGATGGCTTCATTATAATCATCTCTATCATTTATTAGGGAATCGTTTTCTCTCTCCTCCCACCAATCCTTCACTTTTGAATATGGGGACTGCCCATTCTGTTGGGAACAACAGCCTATTGGGTAAATGACCCATTTATTTTCCCAAAGCCAGCTGCCTGGCACAGCAAAGAGCTCTTGCCCCAGGCCTGCTTCTCTTATGAATCCCAAACATGGTGAAATGAAGAGTACTGGTTTTATATTTCATTTCATTTCTGTTAGATTTAAAGTGCCTAGCTGGGTTTATAATGATTGAGTCAACAGTGTGCAGTGATGTTTTTCAAGCAAATATTTAATTAGGTTGACTCAATGGATAATAGATAAGTTGTGTGAGACTGAGAGTGCCAAGATGGGCAACATACACATATTATATTATCCATACTCAAAAAGGGGTGTATGCAATCTTGGCAGTTCACAACTGATTCTGTAAGCATGAATAAATTAGTCTTCCTAGCATGAGAAAGACTGAGCTTTTGGCAAGCAACCACTTCCTATATGATGAGGATACTGCTTACCATTCAATAACACATCTGAACTGCAGTTTTTAAGCACTGAAGAGACCGGTGTTGAATGTGACATCCCGATTGAAACAAATGATTTGATTACTGGCTTATTAAAATTGAAAGAGGGCTGACTTGATTAACCATGACAGGCCCTACTGTATATGTCACTCTGCATCACAGCTAAAAACAAAAGATAATGTCCTTAGTTCAGAAGGAAGCTGCAGCTCACTAAGGAAAATAGCCACTTGCTGATGCAGTAGGCACAGTAACAACAGAAACCACAAACCACTTCTGTCAGTGTGTGGCCACTTACACCATCTTAGGTACTCACCCATGCTAAGGGAACAAATTCCCAAAGCAATTAATTCATGGGGCTTGAACTCAAGCCAGTGAATGTCCATCCCCATGCTTTGAGCTACTGGGTTACACCAGACACTCAAGGCATAAAATGAAAAAATACTTTTTTTGACTACCTGTTGACTGTGGGATGCTGGAATGTTATTGTCTAAAAATGTAACTTTCCCTAATTCTTGTTAAAGTACAGACTCTTGGGCAGCATAAGCACAGAGAGCCCAGTAGATCTTTTGCTAGCTTAAGTATTTTCTGCATAGGGCAAGTTGTCTGTGGTGTTCTTTGCCCAACACAGAAGAGGGTGGGGGAGTTCTCCCCTTTCTAAGACTCTGACAAGTAAAGCCAGTCTTGGAGCTCAGGCACACTTGCGTGCAGATCCATCTCTGCCAAGTTCTTCTGAACTCAGTGGCTTAATGCCAGGGTGTCATTTTTCACAGAAGACACAATACCCAGCAGCTTGGCTGAGGAAGAATCAAATTGTCATCTGCATTCACTCTAGTGTGATCCTTAAAGGCTTGTTTAAGTTGATTCTCCTTACTGGCTAAATAGCTCCAGTTGATCTGACAGTCACAGTATATGACATTTCTCTGGGAGAAGTGTGTCACCATTCTCCTGGCCTTTCTAATACAAGAAAATCACAATATATTATAGCACAATTTGTAGTGAATAATTTTTAATTATCTCCATATTATTGTTGTTGTGTGTCTTCAAGTCAATTCCAACTTATGATGACCCTAAAACAACCGTGTCATTGTTCTTGGGGATCTGAGAATATGTGATTCACCCAAAGACACTTAGTGGTTTTTCATGTCCAAGTGGGGAATTGAACTCTGATCTCAAGAGTTGTAGTCCAGCCTGCAAACCACTACACCATACTGGCTCTTTCCACCAGTATTACACTGGTCTCATTATCAATAAAAACAAAAGTCCTGGACTTTCATGTTTTCCCTCTCTTCCCTGAGACAGAGTAGCTGAATTAGGGTGTGTCTTCACTGTAGAAATACTGCTGTTTGACACTATTAACTTCCATGATTACACCCTACAAAATTCTGGGATTTGTAGTTTTGTGAGGCACCAGCATGCTTTAGCAGTGGTGAAATACCTTGTAAAACTACAAATCCCAGAATTCCATAGAATAGAGCTACATCACTTAAAGTGGTGTCAAGCTCCATTATTTCTACATGCACTCTTAGAAATACTGCATCCTAGATGCACACTTAAGACACTTAGAAGGTACTAAGATTTATTTTTGCAAATCAGATCCCTTTTCTGTTTGGTTAAATCAATACTCAACTCTAACAGCAACATTCAATGTTCTAAAAATGCCACATATCAATTGTGCAACTTTCTATAAGCAAACTATGTTTTCTTCTACTGAGTTATGGGAAAAGTGTCTTTGACTAGGTGTTCACTACAGCATGAGAAGTTGCATCTTCTGCTGTCCTAGACATCCTAAGTTTGATGTTGTGACACAGAACCATCTCAGTCACATGGTCAAGTCAAGAATAGAAAAAGGGACCTCTTTTAGAATATGAATAAGAAAAACAGATTAAAGAGAATTTCAACAGGGACAAATGTAAAGTACAACATTTAGTCAGGAGAATGGAGATGCAAAAATATATGATGGGTGACAACTCTCCTGACTGCAGTATATGTGAAAAAGATCTGGGGTGATGCAGGAGCCAAAAAGAACAATACAATTCAACACTACATCAACAGAATTATAGCATTTAGATGAGGGAAGTAAAAATACTTCCAGTAGATTCTACTTTGATCAGACTTTACCTGGAATACCATGTCCACTTCTGAGTGTCTCCGTTCAAGAAGAATATTGACAAGCTGGAACATGTCCAGAGCAGGGCAACCAAGATGATCAAAGGTCTTGAAACCAAGCTCTATGAGAAACAACTTAAGGACCTGGGTATGTTTAAATTGGAGAAGATGGAGAGATGATCTGATACCATCTTTAAATATTTGAAGGGATGTAATGTGGGAGATGGAGCATATTTTTTTTTCTGCTGCTCCAGAAACTAAGATATAAACAAATGGATTCAGGTTACAAGAAAATCTCTGGAAGAACTACTTTACTGTAACAGATATTCAACAGTGGAATAGACTGTCTTGATAGCACTAACTACATTAGCAGAATGTTTAATTTTGATCCTAGGAATTGGGCCACAATTTTCCTTGGGGTCTACATGTATGGAAGTTAAGCTCTTGGGACCAGTATGTGTCTGGTGTGGGCTTAGCCTCTCAAAGTGACTATCCCAATTAAAAAAAACCTCATTTCCTGAGTTGTACTTAGCTGTAGCAAAAGCCTAGTGATTCCTGCCAACTCAGCCCTAGGCTACTTGCAATGTATGGCTGATTTTATTGGGATCCTGACAGTAGACAGAACTTTTTCATGTACTACAGGTCTCATGAAATGACAATGGGGTGAGGTCTCTGGTATTACATTAAAACAATAATTGCCAGTGGTTCAGTCAGTGGAGAGATGAATCCAGTCTAGGGTTTAATCCAAAACTGAAGACACTGACCCTCTATCCCCCAAACAGGTTCCATAGTTTGGATTGATCCTTTAAAAATCAAACTAAAACCATGCTCCAATGAGATAGAAACCAGCACACTCCCTGTATTTATAGGAAAAGAGTAAATAGAAATAAACAAAGTTGATACTGACATATTTAGCATCTAGTTTGATCCAAGGGTAAAAAGTGAAATGTAGAATTTTGGAAACAGATTAGTAATTTGATATTGACAAAGGATTTTCCCATCAGAGATGTAAGAATCTTAAAAATCAGAGAAACTTATAGAACCATAGATTTGGAAGGGGTCTCAACAGTTGCCTGCCAGTGCAGGAATATAAAGTATCCCTGAGAGGTGGCTATCCAACCTCTGTTTAAAAACCCACAGAGAAGGCAAGTACACAATTTTTCTAAAGCAACCTATCCTATGATCAAACATTCAAATCACCAGGAATTGCTTCCTAATCCTTAGTCAAAGTGTCATTTCTGGTCATTTGAACTCATCAGTTTCTGTCCTAAATACAGAACAGCCAAAAACTCATTATATGTTCCACACAACAGCCCTTCCAATATTTACAATATCCTATTCCCTCTCAATCTTCTCTTCTCAATGTTAAGCTTCCTATAGGGTTCCAAATTCTTTACCATCTGAATTACCTTTCTCTTGACTCTTTCCATCTTGTCAATATTCATCTTTAACTATTGTGCACATCCCTGCTAAAATTTACTCGTTTTGCACTGACCCAGTTATTCAATGTTAAAATAATTTTAAAACCTTTGACCCATTCACACTACACAGTCATAATGCTATGATTCCACCTTAACAGTCATGACAACATCTTATGGCATCCTGGGATTAATTTAGGAGTGGTGAGCAACATCAGGCCCAGGACAGAGCAGAAACCCAAGATACCTGTCATGTTCCTATGTTCAATCTGCCATCAAAGTGTTGTGGGGGGGGATCAAGGGGGATTCTAGATTGAAGCAGATGGCTGAAGCAAGAAAAGACTAGGGCTGTTTATGACAATGCCTTGCTTTAATGAGAGATGGTGGGGGGGTGGGAATTGAGAAGGGGCAAACTTCAAAGCACACCTTTGAAGTGGGAAAATGGTGCTGGCTACAAGTCTGGGGAGTGGGCTGGATAAAGGACTTTTAAACAGTTGTTTAACTTGGGAAAATTCAGAGTTGATTCTAACCATTGTGGAGTAGTTCTGTGTGTCTTAGAATCCACGCTAAAGCAATAGTTAATTTTCACTAAAATGCTATCCTGGTTCTTTAAGTCTCCAGCTGCCAAGCTCTGGATCAACTCTCTTCAACATCACCTCATTCATGGCATCCACCTTCAGACTGAAGCCAATCTGGAGGAGCCATCCTGGGGTGAGCAGAGTGGCAGCCAGGTGGCCCCATCCCAGATCAGTGAGTGAGCTCTGGCCAAGGGGCTGGAGCAAGATGACCCTGCAGATTCAAAGGAGGCTCAGGGGACAGTGGACCGCTTAAGGAGGAAGCCCTGCTAGCTTCGTAGTGGTATGGAGAGAAGCAATCTCCACACTACAAGGACTGGGAGAACTGGTCCACAGTGAATGAGGGGGCTGAAGAAATCTTCCATTGGTTGTTGGAGGAAGCCTTGGAGGACCAGCTAAGAGAAGCAGAGGAAGATGAGTCATTCTGCCCAGTAACTGGTGACAGACACCAGCAGGGAAGCAGACGTAGTGGGGTATGGTGGCCAGAGAGTGTGCAGTTCACAGGAGCAACAGAGAGTACAGGATCCTGGGATGCCGAGGGAGGCAGGGGAAGTGAAGATTGGCTTTGGGGAAAGGAGACAGCCTGGAGTCACATGGAGGAGTGGTCCCCTCAGCAGGAGGGTGCAGAGGGCTGGTCTTTGGACAAGGAAGGCAACGTGGAGATGAAGTATCGGCTATGGAAAGAAAACATAGAGCAGCATTGGGGGAAAAATTCAACTGTGGAGGCACACAGAGGAATGGCCTGCTGGAAATGAGGACATAGTGGACTGGCCCTGGAGGGATGAGGACATCATAGAAATGGAGGATTGGCTTAGGGCAGAAATCCAAAAACACCCTCTGATTGACAAGGATGGTGATGAATGGTCCCAGACCTCAAGGCCCACCAGGGGCCCAATGATGGCATGGAAATATGGGGCCACATGGTCCTCAAAGTATGAGGACACTGAAGACTGGCCCTCCACCAATGAGGATGAAACAGTGATGGAGGATTGACTTGAAGGGAAAGTCCAGCATGGAGGACTACGAGTGGTAGTCCTCTTGCCAGCATGGAGGACTACGAGTGGTCCCGGACCCCAACATTCAACTGAAGCCCAGTGATGGCATTGAAGTGCATGGCCACATGGTCCCAGAGGACGAGGACACAGAAACCTAGTCCTCCAGTGATGAATATCACTCAAGAAAGGAGAATGGCTTGGAGAGGGCACACAGATGAACCCATAGAGTGAGGGGAATAAGGAGGAGTGGTTCCCAACCCCACTACCATGGTAACCAGCAGCTCCCCCAATAGCAACCACCCTCACCATCCCAGGCTCATCATCCCAGAACCTAGTGTGACAACCTGCAATGGCGGTGGTCACTGAAGAGAAGGGGACTCCAAATGAGAATGCCGGGGGGGCTGTCAACAAGAGAAAACCCAGATGGAGCCTCAAAAAGCCAGGGCACCCAACACACTCAACAGAGTGAGCAAACAAGAGGACTGGGGACAAACCAGCTTAAAACAACCAACATGGAAGGAATAGGAAAAGAACAGGCTTCACCACCCACCTGAGTGGACAGGGTAAGGAAGCAGGCCACATGGCAAGAGACTTCAGAGGACCTCAAGAGACCAAGAGCCACACCAACAGGTCAACAAACACAGTGAAGACCGGATCTTGAGGAGAGAGAGCCTCAGAGGGGGAAAAAACCCACGCCAGACTGTTGCCACAGCCATGGTGAGACCTAAAGCCCTTTGTGTTAGCACCCAAACTGTAGACCCTGCAGTTTCCCTGAGACAGGTGGAAAATCCTAAAAAAATGGGAGTCTGCAGACTGGGGAGAAGCAGCTAGAGCCATTCTACCACCCACAAGCCCAGGACTTTGGGAATTGAGGTGGGGGCAGAAAAGGCCCAGAGACCTTAAAGCCAGGGCTCACCCAGCAGGGCTCAGGCATAAGCCAGAGCCAAATAGCACAACCCAATGGAAGTGGGAGGGTCGAACCCTAAATTGGCAGGAGGAACTTGTAGAGAGCCAGTGGTGACCAGGGGCATCCACTCCGGTGACTCAAAGACAGTGGCATTCAGGAGCCCCAGTGATGGATGTAAACCTCTCTGAAGTGGGGAAGGAGATAGAGCAATC